TCTTCGATGTATTTTCATATTCTGAAAACGTTGGATAATTATCTTATCATCAACTGTATCAAATACATTTTTCTCAATATAGGTGACCAAACAATTATTCATCCATTGATTTCCCATTCGATTGCGTAACCAACTTTATACAAGATTCATTGAAGAAAAAGTCTTTTCAACGATCATAGTTGCAACTAGTAAAACCAATACAAGTTTCACAAGCTTATACATCAACGGATACAAAATGTCTTTTTTAAACTGAACTAAAATCTTAGCCAAATCACCAATTCCTTCTAAGTCAGCAAAATTCATTATAAGAACGCCTGTTAATAACATAAGTCCTAGTATGGTTCTCAAGTACTATTAACTCAAGTGCAGAAAAATCTGTTGGATAAAATTTGGCAAAACGGATCAACTTATGCTTGTCAAAAGCAGAAATGAAATACTTGGATCTAAACATGTCATACAAAGAAGCAGCTCAGTACTAGCCTTAGTGAAACGAGTGTTAAGTTCTTGAAGTTGCATATTTGTCACTGTATAAAACAATTCAACTCGATAGTGATGCAAATTTTTCATGTGCTCAACTCTTTGTCGTGACCGCCTTTGAATTGCAAACATATCATCCATATTCAAAATGGCAATATCATGTTTTTGGCAAAATGAAGAAATTTCACTCAACAAAGATTTTCATCCTTCATCTCTCAACAATTGTAACCATTGTTTTGGAGACTTTGACTAAGGCCATAGCATTTATAATGTCTTGATCTTTTCTCTGTAATGCTTGTGACAACTCATTAGTAATTGCCAATATACTTTTCATCATATGCAAGCTAAATGCAAAATCAAAGGAATAGATTGCATCTAATAGATTTAGGGGTGAAATCAAATCAAGTCGAGTATTTGGTAAATCGAACTCAACTTAATCTCTATAGTACCGAGTTCGAGTTCGAGTTCAAGGCCGATCGAACCTGAGAAATCAAGTTCAAACTCGAACTCAGTACTTGAAATTGGAAATCGAGTTCGAATTCAAGTTCGTATAATCAAGCTTTTTTCGAGTTTTTAGTCGAGTTTTATTCAAGTTTTAATTGAGTTCAAGTTCGAACTTGATTTCAAGCTCATCTAACAGGGGTGGATCTGCAAATTTTATAACTTTTAAATTACGTATGACCCCCATTACTTTAAAAATTGTTAACTTAACCATCGAGCTTGGAAATACTCACGAATATATTGAGTCGAGTTTTACTCGATTAACTACTCGAACTCGACTCGACTAATGCGGAGTCGAGTTCAAGCCAACGTCAAGTATAGATTGAGTGGCTCGCGAGTGGCTCGATTTGATTTTCACCCCTAAATAGATTACATGCTTCATCCCTTTGTTTAGGATTTAAACCATTATGTGCAAACCTAATAGCTCTTATTCCTTTCATTTTCACTCCTAATAAATTTTTTTAAAACTAATAGATCCCTTTGCATAAAAATAAAAATCACAAAGAATATGTAATAAATATATTAGAATTAAAAATGGGGTTTTACAAAAACAAAATCCAAACTTACCACACATATTTATATTTATATCAGAACATCCTAATATAAATTTGGTCAAGACCATATATATTCACTTTTGGATTCATTACATTAAACTAAAATGATATTTTACAACCTTGGTCCAATGGTGTCCTTAATAAATTTATATCAAGACATAATGATTAGAGAATTATTATTATTATTATTATTATTATTATTATTATTATTATTATTATATAGAACACATAAGCAATAGTAATTTGTTTTATAAAGGTTTAATAGAAATAGAAATAAATGTTGGTAGTAGCTCGAAGAACCTAAATATTTTATTAAACTTTTATAAAATAAATTACTCAAATATTTTATTGGTAGTAGCTCGAAGAACCTAAATGTTGGGCCTAGACTTGCATTTTTATGTTCATCTTAGGCTGGACCTAAGGTTCTACATTTAAAATGATATAATTTATAATTTTCAACATATCAATAAACATAATCATTATTTATAATTTCGTTTTATTCAATGTAAATACAATTGTTTTCGATGCATTTTAATTTTTTTGAAGACCAATATTGTCAATAGTGTTAAATAAATCAAATAAAAGAAATGATACTAACACAAATTAAAAAAAAAAAAAAAAAAAACCCATAAAAATCCTAATTTCTTAAAGGTAATCTAAATTAAAAACCATTTAGAATAGAATTCCTAAGTTAATAATGGATTTGTCCTACATCACAACCATATTTTATTAAGTTTGTAAAAAAAAATATTTGCTTTACAATTTTTTTACATGTAATGAGTTTAATTAAATTTCTACAACATGGGCCTTATTTATTTATTTTTATTTTTTTGGACATTATTTTGAATTAGGTATTTTATAAAACATATACACTGTGTTTGGGTGTAACTGTAAGTTTATAAAAACTTAATTTTAGGGGGGTATTGTTTTGAAAATTTTGGGGGTGGCCAATGCTGGCTCCGCCATTGATGAGGCGTGTTTCATACTTCTCAAGCTTGGCGAATGGTAACATGTGTGATTTGTGTTGCAACGCCATGTCGAGTAAAAATGAATTGGACTTTTTATTTATTTATATGATTGTATTGTATAATAATAATATTTCAGATAATTGAAAACCAATGAATCAAAAAAAATCTGATTCGGGTTTTAGATATACAAACTGATTTGACATAATTCATTCATTCACATGTCAATTATTTTATTTATCGAACATATCTTAAGTTGACTTTATATATATTTTTATCAATTCATTTTATGACACATCAGTTTGTATGAAAGAGTTTATATATTTACATTATTTTTTTTTCATATGCTAACATTTTTTTCACTTTTAAGTCTATAATTTTTTTATCTTGTTCAAATTTTCAATCTAACATTTTAAATTAAGTAGGTATTATATTTTTTTTTAAGTTTATAAACTTAAAACATTGTTTAAATGGTATCACATAAAAATTATCTAAATAATATTACATTCAACATCAACTAGACATATATGTTAAAATATAAATTTTTATTGGTAAAAACAAACAAGTTAACACTAAAAATAGAAGGCAAACATATTATTCATTATATATTTTTTAGATTTTATACTAAATTATTTCTATTCAATTTTCAAATAAAAAGTAAATGCCATCNAAAAAAAAAAAAAACCCATAAAAATCCTAATTTCTTAAAGGTAATCTAAATTAAAAACCATTTAGAATAGAATTCCTAAGTTAATAATGGATTTGTCCTACATCACAACCATATTTTATTAAGTTTGTAAAAAAAATATTTGCTTTACAATTTTTTTACATGTAATGAGTTTAATTAAATTTCTATAACATGGGCCTTATTTATTTATTTTTATTTTTTTGGACATTATTTTGAATTAGGTATTTTATAAAACATATACACTGTGTTTGGGTGTAACTGTAAGTTTATAAAAAACTTAATTTTAGGGGGGAATTGTTTTGAACATTTTGGGGGTGGCCAGTGCTGGCTGGGCCATTGATGAGGCGTGTTTCATACTTCTCAGGCTTGGCGAATGGTAACATGTGTGATTTGTGTTGCAACGCTACGTTGAGTAAAAATGGATTGGACTTTTTATTTATTTATATGATTGTATTGTATAATAATAATACTTAGATAATTGAAAACCAATGAATCAAAAAAAATCTGATTCGGGTTTTAGATATACAAACTGATTTGACATAATTCATTCATTCACATGTCAATTATTTTGTTTATAGAACATATCTTAAATTGACTTTATATATATTTTTATTAATTCATTTTATGATACATCAGTTTGTATGAAAGAGTTTATATATTTACATTATTTTTTTTTCATATGCTAACATTTTTTTCACTTTTAAGTCTATAATTTTTTTATCATGTTCAAATTTTCAATCTAACATTTTAAATTAATTAGGTATTATATTTGTTTTTAAGTTTATAAACTTAAAACATTGTTTAAATGGTATCACATAAAAATTATCTAAATAATATTACATTCAACATCAACTAGACATATATGTTAAAATATAAATTTTTATTGGTAAAAACAAACAAGTTAACACTAAAAATAGAAGGCAAACATATTATTCATTATATATTTTTTAGATTTTATACTAAATTATTTCTATTCAATTTTCAAATAAAAAGTAAATGCCATCTTAGTTCTTAACTTTTTAGCTATTTAAGGTATTATATTTTTTTTATCAAACAAATAAAGTTAAATGGGGGAAAAGTAAAATTTCCTCGTTAAAAAATAACTCAAACTTATCCTATCCTATTTTTTAAAAATAGATTTTAGTATTCATAAATAAGGTGGACATGCATAGAAGATACGAAACTGAATTAAGCTGCAAATATAAATTTGTTATAAATAACAGATGGATGTAGCTTCCTTTCATAAAATATTAGTTGAAACGACGGATGTGATCATTGCCATAAGCGATGACGTCAGCACTAATAAGCTTTACATTGATATAAAATAAAAAATGCGACAGTCAAAGTCTAGGATTCCGTTTATACTACTCGTAATAGAAAAGAATAATAAGAAGAAAGAAGACTTTGAACATGTTCGTGTTTTCAGACATTATTCATTTAAGTTTAAATTTAAATTTAAACTCAATAAATATAATTCTAGACATTTTCGAAATGAAGCAAAATAACTAAACAGATTCCATTCCAATTCTTTAAAAATATTAGTTAAGAAATTAAAGGACCTTTTAATCTCAAATTTTTATTTTCCAAATTTAATGTATTAAAATATTTACAACACACCATCAAAAATCTCATAGATGGTTCTGGAAATGAAAACAATGACCGGTAGTAAATGAAAAAAAAAAAAAAAATTCTTCCGTTAACGTTGTCGTGGCCAATGCACAGTCAGCAAAGATGGACGGCAATTAATCCGCCACGTGGCTTATAATTGGTTTCCTTTTAATGTACAAAATTAAGGAGAAGGGCGTGCCAAGTCGCCCTATGTATATTCTGACCAATTCCACACCTCATCGTCATCGCCTAACTATAAAAAGTTTACAAATACAGAAATTCACAGAACTGAAGAGAGCTTTTTATCGATCCATCCATGGCGGAACAGCAATTCAAGTACGTGATCCTCGGTGGTGGTGTCGCCGCGGTGAGTGCTTAATCGCTTGTCTCTTTTCAAATCAGCGTTTATTGTTATTCTATTTACTTCATGAACTTTCCATTTTTGAATTTGATGTACTATCTGTGTAATCTCGATTTGTTTGGCTTTTAATTCTGAATTTAACCTGACACCAGTGCACCGATTCATGAAATTTCCAGATCTGCATATTTTTACTAGAATCGCTATAAATTAGGCTTGGTTTGCTACTGACTGCTAGTGTCGTTGACTAAACGGTAGTAACAATTGCGTTTTGATTGTTGTTAGAGTGTTTTCGTTGATGTTTTTGTCTATTAATTGGCTTGATTAAGCCTTTTAAATTACTTAATTTTGTGACAATTGAACATCAGAAAAAAAATAATAATAAAATAAAAAAACACAATTATGTTTCTATTTTGGAAGCTGTGTGAATTTGGTTTATCTACGGTTCTTAATTGTATGTTAATTTTCTATTAATTGGCTGAGATTGTGGAATTAGATTATGAAAATGCATGCATTGGCAAGGTTCTGTTTGTGAGTTTCTTTTATTTGATTAATGCTACTTGTTTTGTTTACCTGAATTTATGGTCTTTGAAATTGCAGGGATATGCGGCTAGGGAGTTCGCTAAGCAGGGTGTTAAGCCAGGAGAGCTGGCAATTATCTCCAAAGAAGCAGTATGCTTGATACTCTTGAGTTTGTACTTGGGTGAAATATGATTGAAATCAGTTCTGATATATGCCAGATGTTATAATTTGCTTAATTTTACAAATTTTCTTATAAGAGAGTTATTGCAATGCTTGGCAGTTTTGTTTTACAAATGATTTTAGTCGTGACAAAATTGATAAAGATTTTTGAATTTGCATATTGACATTGAACACGTTAATATTTAAAATCTTCGTAGTTAAGTTTTGGGCTTGGTGATTTGAAAGTAGATTAGATTGATATGTTAAATCATATCAATGAGTAAGCCTTAGTACTCCTTTTTTGGTCTTTCACGGGTTATGATGTTTTCTTTAATTTAATGAAGTTTGGGCTATCTTAAAGTTTATGAATGGCAATATAGTTCGGGCTGCTTCATGCTCATAGTTTTCTCTGAGTGCAGTTTCAAAATTAAACAGTATAGGATATTTTTTCACAATAACATTGATTGTATTTTCCTTTTTCGGTTGAATTTATACTGATTGATGCTTTCTTTCTCTCATAGGTGGCTCCTTATGAGCGTCCTGCACTTAGCAAGGCATATCTTTTCCCTGAGGGTAGGTTTATATTACTTCTGTATATTTATTACTAAGGAACTGGACTTTGATTGAATTGGATGCTGCTGCACCTTCAGCTTTGACTCACAATTCTATGGAGCTTAAACTTGGTTCATATGCCATCTTTTGTAATACCTGACAGCAAATTCCTCTTTTCTTTCAGGAACTGCTAGACTTCCCAGTTTCCATGTCTGTGTTGGAAGTGGAGGAGAGAGACTGCTTCCTGAGTGGTACAAAGAAAAAGGTGATACCTGTTTTTCTAACTATTATTTGCTCCTTATCTAATTTATGTTCGAGGGAGTTTCAACTTTTTATTAAATAAAATGCTGAGGCTGAAAGGAGTTACAACTTTTAAATGAGTGGTTGATGAAGAATATTTTTTTTAATTACTTCCCCTAAACCTCCCAAACTTAAACCCAAACCTCCCAACTTTGTGAAATGGATAAAATCCTAAGGTCTTTTCTATAACTTTAAATAGTCATACCGATTAAACTCTCTTTTTAAAAAAAAAAAAAAATAACCAAGCTATCATCCAGATTGCTCATTAAGTATTTAACTGTTCTCTCTATTCTGTTTTTTTTTTTTTTTTTTTTTTTTTTTTTTTTTGTAATTTCGGTTTGGTAATCCCTCTGTAACATGCTTCTCATGGTCTAATGCTTGCAGGAATCGAATTGATCCTTAGCACAGAATTAGTCAAAGTGGATCTGTCTTCCAAGACTCTTGTTAGTGCAGCTGGGAAAATTTTCAAGTATCAAATTTTAATCATTGCAACTGGTTCCACAGTAAGCACAATAGCTTGAACATCTTTCAGATAAAGCATTTCCCTCAGTCTTCTAGGAACACTGAAATATGAGCTTCCATTTTTTTTTTTTCCAGGTTATAAGGTTGTCAGATTTTGGTGTGCAAGGAGCCGATGTAAAAAATATCTTTTACTTGAGAGAAATTGATGATGCTGATAAGCTGGTTGAAGCAATTAAAACAAAGAAGAATGGAAAGGCCGTGATTGTTGGAGGAGGATACATTGGCCTTGAGCTTAGTGCAGCGCTACGAATCAACAATATTGATGTTAGCATGGTTTATCCTGAACCATGGTGCAGTAAGTGAAGATTTACCATCTCTGACTATTTTCAGTGTTGCTTAAATTTGAACATATAATTTTCAAAATCAGTTTATGTTTAATATATTGTTGGTTATTAACACTGACCTTGTTGTAGTGCCTCGCCTCTTCACTGCTGGTATTGCTGCTTTCTATGAGGGTTATTATGCTAATAAGGGAGTCAAAATTATCAAGGGAACAGTTGCAGTTGGATTTACGGCTGACTCTAATGGAGAGGTAAACAATCAATCTCGTGCATAACTGATGTTGTATTAATGCTATTATTATGGGCTGAAATTCATTATATATATATTATTCAGGTGAAAGAAGTGAAACTAAAGGATGGCAGGGTTCTGGAAGCTGACATTGTTGTTGTTGGTGTTGGAGGTAGACCACTCACATCATTAGTTAAGGGGCAGCTTGAAGAGGAGAAAGGCGGAATTAAGGTTAGTGACTACATACAACCATTGGATTTTTACATTGTTTAGTAACGTAGCTTAACATCTTAATTAAAGTCTCATTTTAACATTCGTGATGCATTATTTTTCTTCTGACATGACACTCTAATTGCAGACTGATGCATTCTTCAAGACAAGTGTTCCTGATGTTTATGCTGTGGGAGATGTTGCTACTTTCCCATTGAAATTATACAATGAGATTAGAAGAGTTGAACATGTTGACCATGCCCGCAAATCAGCCGAGCAGGCTGTAAAGGTATGTAGAATTACATCACTGGAGCTACAAGATATGCTGAACCTCTGTTGATTATGCGTTCATTGTCTCATATAATAATTCTAGCTTCCTTTAATGTAGCATTGTGAAGTCTTGAATATAATGTAATGGATTGGTATTTTTCAGGCCATCAAAGCAAGTGAGGAAGGGAAAACAATTGATGAATATGACTATCTTCCATACTTCTATTCTCGTGCCTTTGATCTCTCGTGGCAGTTCTACGGTGACAATGTCGGTGACACAGTGCTATTTGGGGACAGTGATCCAGCATCGCCAACCCATAAGTTCGGAACATACTGGATCAAAGATGGGAAAGTTGTTGGAGCTTTCCTTGAGAGTGGCACTCCAGAAGAAAACAAGGCTATTGCCAAAGTTGCAAGGGCGCAGCCTCCAGTTGATAATTTGGATGTGCTGTCAAAGGAGGGTATTGCCTTTGCCAGCAAGATCTGAGAATATTATAGAGAGTGACTATATTTTATGCGTCTGTGTTTAAAAGCATTTGTAATTGTTTGTTGTTTCTGTTTAAGATAGATTGTGGTATTTGCTTTGCTTTTAACTTTTTCGTGCTTTTAATTGCCAAAGTTACTTTTAAGGTTGACATCTTTTTTTTTTTTTTTTTTTGGGGGGGGGGGGTGGTGGGGGGGGCTGGCGCTAGCGGTATTCATTTTTATATTCTTATTTGCATCAAAGATGATTTTCTTTTGGTCAGAGAAGTTCGCTATTGAAGTTTTTTTAAGACTAAAGAGAATAAAGATGACACAGCAGAACTCACTTAATCTCATCAATGTTTTAAAAACCAATTCGGAGTTAAAGTCGCAAATTGGCTGGGTCTTGGGTGAACTAGTTTAATTGGCGGGTTAAATCAGTGATGTCAACATAAAAAAAATCAAATTTTATTTTCTGTGCATGTTAGCATTGTTATTGTCTCAGGCGCATGTTAGCACATCTTTTTTCCCCCTTTTTTTTGACTTTTTTCACCCAAAATCACACCCGTCACCATCATTGGAACTAACGGGCTCTCCTCTTCAAAACCATACTTTTTAACCCCTCCTCGCTGATCATCGGTCACGACAACCACATCAATCGGTAGTCCTTTGCCGAATTATGACCGTTTTAAGCGACAACAACTCTAACCATCATCACCCTTACACTGACCACCTACTCCCCTACAAAACCCCCAAGGTTCCCAAGTCATTCCACTCACCAATCGTCGACAATCAAAAGCTAGGGTTTCACCATTTTTTGACCAAATTTCGACAATTCTAATGACTAAAACTTAATCAGACAACACCTCCCGACTCATCGTGATCCACCCTTCAAAACCCCCTAACCCCGATTCTTGTTTGACAATCGAACACCGAAAGTCGCCATGATTTGGAATTGGGATTCACCCAGTTTTTCCCCCAAAACTAGTTGGACCGATGGGTTGTTACAGTAACCCTGATCCAACCCCGGGTCAATACCAGGTGAATTCACACCCCCGGTATTAAGGCCAACCCTACCCAGCTCAATAGCCTGTTCTCAGTCGAATTGGTTCAATCGACCGAGCCGGATTCTAAAACATTTGATTCTCATAATGAAGTGAGAAACCAGTCTGTTCTTTGTCTCTCAATTTAATGGTGCCAATGGTACAACAAATAACACCATTGAAGTAAAAACCAATTTTCTGTCCACAGAAAGGCCTAAAAATTACTCAAGAACACTTTAATTATACTACATTTTGCAAATACGTTCAACGAACAACAATTCTGCTTTCTAGCATCAATGCAATTTTACCGACACCTTAACTTCTGAATATTTCTTTTAATAATTTGCACTCAAAAACCATAGTGTTTGGTGCCTTCAATAGGCATTCATGATTATGAAATTATTACATTATTGATGTATATGAAGACATCAAGCCTGTGAAATTGACTGTAAATTATCTGCATTTTAAATGTTTCAATTCAAGCAGAATATGCAATCAATGCAACTATATTTCTGAATAAAAATTATAATGCACTCTCAAGTCTCAAGAATGACCAACAATAGAAGAAAAGGCTCATGTAACTCAGAACAGATCAAATTCCAACATATTATCAAATTGGAAATCAGACTTTTAACTTGCTAAAAGTTTCATCTACCAAATGTATAAACTAAGAACTACATGAATCTCAAAAACAAAACTTCAACGTCCAATTAGAAGCTCCAAATTGAGGAGAAAAATGATTCGCAAAGGGTAATAATTAAAGAACTCTCTAGTCAAAAAGACTGAAGCCCATATCCTGCAACAATAAAAAGAGATAATTAGATAATGCGAAAATAAAACCTAAAGTAAGGTCAAATATATGGTGTATAAACATAAAATGCCTGGCATGTGTATTATCTGCTACATATGAAAGATGAAACTCAGCTAGACAGGCAGGTATTGAACATGCTATCCCCTTTAATTTTCTTATGATTAGGTAAAAACCAGCTAAAAGATTTGCATTTTGCAATATCCTCATCATGGCAATGGTACATAAAAGAACTGTCAAAACAGTGATGCAAGTCACATAAACCATGCGTAAATTAGAACTGAATGGCATGAAATTAGAGCATCAATTAAAAATAAGTGCTCAGCAAATCTCACATCATCTGACTCCTCTTTCTCCTCCACTTTCTCCTCTTTCTTTGACTCAGCAGCAGCTGGAGCAGCACCACCACCACCAGCAGATGCAGCCACTGCAACTGCAGCACCACCACCAGAAGGCACTGACGTCAATTTCTCCCGCCCAGAAGCAATAAGCTCAGTTATATCTTTACCCTTGACTTCCGACAAAAGAAGTTCTATTCTATCATCGTCACATTCAGCTCCAACTATACAGTAGCATAACAAAATTTCAATTCTTTAGCAATAATTGAACAATAAACTCCTATAAATGGAATAGAAAATCTAAAAAAAAGAACATGTCAAAATCAAAATAACATGAATAACCACTTTATAATAATTATCAAAAACAAAACACCCAATCAAAATAAAGAAAGTTAAAGTCAAGAAAAGCAAAATTCAAAATCCAACCTATCAGTCAGCATCTATTATCATCAGTAATCAAACCGGAAACTCTCTAAGTAGTATCTAGTATCGGGAGGGGTGTATCACAACATATATTCACCCATCCAATCAAATTCCACCACTTGCAAAATTAAGTAACATGGTAGCAATTAGGTGAATTACATTGTGGGAAAAACTAATAAAATTTACAGTCCAGAAAAAAAAAATCCTTAAATAGGCGGAACGGACTAAAAAAAATCGATAAATAACTTTCGGTATACCATCACCAGAGACATTTAATTCAACATTCAACCTCAACAATATCTTTAGATCAAGTTTCTTGAACTAGCTAAGCATTTTAAGGGTTCTATATTGAACAAAATTGATGTCATACACGTGCGAAATCGAAGACAACAAAATACCCAAACAAAAAGAACTAATAAAAGCAAACATTAAACTTAAATTAAGTAAAGAAAAGAAGGTACCAGAGCCAAGGATATCCTTGATATCATCAGCGGAAGGGGTTTCTTTGCCTCCCAAAACAGCCAGCAAATAAGCTGCAATCACCTTCATTTTGCTTCTCAACTACTTCTATAAATACAAGCAACATTACCGGATTCAATGCATTACCAACAAAAATAGCAGAACATAATAAAATTGATGTATAGATAAAGAGAGTGAGTACCTGAAAGGCTCTGGATCCGCAGCTATGCAAGAAGAAGAAGAACACAAACGACAGAAGGAGAAAGTGAGGGAAATATGTACATCTATATATACATGTACAAATCTAGGGTTTTAGCTGGTTTTAATGTGTAACCCATTTTGGGCTCGATATGCCCATGTCCTCGGGCCGGCCCAAACATGAAATTATTAAACAAAATAATACTCTTTTATATTATAAATTTATATTCTAAAATATTAACTCCTTGTCTTGGTAACTATTTTAACTCTTTACGTCAATAATCAATAATTACTATTATATTAGAATTTTTTAGTATTGATAATCCAAAAAGTCCAATTTTAACGTAAATTTCTTTTTTATAATATCTCTAATGGTATTGAAATATGTTAGAGTAATACAACACTCACAACCCTGATATGATAGCTTACAATTGATTATTTCACAAATGAGTCTCACTTACCTATTTGCAAGCTACCAAGTCAAAATTGTGAGAGAAAATTTATACGAAAATGTTGTAAATGTAAAATTTTGAATATGTTAAGTCGACATTAAATGTAATTTTAACAATGATGTAATATCAGTACAAAATGATCAATTACATGCTTTGCTTACTCATACCATTAAGAATATTTAAGAGATTCTAACACAAAGTAGTTATAAATTAATTAACCTAAGAAGAATGGAACCAAGCAAACTTGAGAACAAAGAACTAATAGATTTGTATTAAGATGACTTACATATACCTTTCTTCCTCATATGTCATTCACTTTAATTTCATGATGTTTTTATACATTCTGTGACGTGTTTATTAAACAATTCCATGCTTTTATTTCTCTTTTGAAATACACGAACACTTTAATAATTTGTTTCATCAACCAAGATGTTTATATTTTATTCTTCTTTCACTTTTAGCCATTGGGGTTAACTATATTTATTGATAGGGTCTTTTGTTTGAGTCGTAAAAAAGGTACTACTTTAGTATATTGGACTTATAGAATGTTTCGTGATCATGAGGATTAGGCAATTTTCATGCATGAGATTGATATTGCTAGTGTTTTGTGCATGTTCTGTTTGATAGCTCTTTGGGGAAGAAATTTTGTGTCTTAAAACCCTTATACGTCTTTGGGCATGTGTTTCAAGATTTAAAAGAAATACGCAGAACCCGTACTTTCTGTCAAAATAGTCACAGAGACCGTTGAAGCAATTTCCTACATCTGACGAGTTTTCAAAGAAAATCAAGCTCTTTTCACTTAACTATTTCAATGTATATCGGCTTAAAATCAAACATTTTACAACTGATTTAACAAACATTTTCGTGACTTGGCTCCTACACCAAAATCTTTTTCAAATTTGCCGCTTCATCGGGCCGTCATAAAGATTCAATAATCGTGGCTGCCATAGATAGGTTTGGTGTAAGTGTAACGAATACTTTATAGAAACAACACTTGCCAGTTAAATTAATAACGAAATTTAATGCAAATATATAAATATAATAACTCTACTCCAAATTTATTTATTAAATAAGCAAAAGTGACGTTTAACCAAATGTCACTGATAATATTAAATTTAAATTAACATTATTTAATGATCAAAAGAAAAGTTTTCTATAAGATATTTAACGGAAATTGGAAACTTAAATAATGATAATTTGTAAGGTCTTTTAAATTTGATGTTTTCGTTTCTGGCTTTTGTCGTTGTTTACCTTTTTTAATTATCATAGTTTAATTTAATTTTAAGTTAAAAATAAAAGGATATAAACAGAGCAGAAGTAGATAGATAAGAATGTGGATGCATGCATGTAAATATCTCTATCTATCGAATTCTTAAACTAAATCGGATTAAAATAATAAATACATATTATAGGACATTAATCTACATCAGTTTGCTAACCTATTCCATATTTTTAATTTCAGTATATATTGAGACTGACAGTAGGAAGAAACTATCGTTAAATAATTATACAGTATATGTTTGTATAATTAATTAGGGATACGCTACCATCGTACCCTAAATCTATGATTCCTTGGCAGCATTTGTGTTGGAATTCAATGTCTTAACATTTCATTAATTCATCTCAATTATTGAAAAATCAAATCAAATACGTTTTGAAATTAAGATAGCATTATAATACTGTGAAAGAGAATCACGTGGGAATTGGGATTATATAAAATGAAATGATATCCACTGATCTCAAGGAAGGAGAAGAGAAAAAGTTGGAAATATATATATATATATATGCTATTTTATTTTTATATTGAGATCACATCACATGTCTTTTGAAACAGCAAACTTCCACTCTTACCTATCACCCCTGCCCATCAAAATCAAACACAAAGAGAACGTTGTGGCTCCGGGAGATAACTTTATATCATCATATATATACAAGGGGGAACGACTTACACATACCCAAAGTTTGCTATAAAAACAAAGTGATACCCAAAAAGTTTAGAAATGATAAACACCCACTTTCCATCATGTTTTATTAGGAATTTCCATCTGCTAAAAGACAAAAATAGTGAAAAGACTTGAATACCCACCGATCTCCATTCCCAATGCATGCCAGTAAGGGCTAGTGCCACTGTTTATCATCGAATTTCGTAGAAAAATACTAAATGCGATCAAAAAATCGATCAATGACGCAAGAGGGTTGAGCAAACGGGCTTGGGTGAGAATGGAATAATTATACTGTCTTTTAGTAGACAAAAATCCCTAACAGAATATGACAGAAAGTATTTGTTTATCATTTTCAAACCTTTTGGGTATCAATCTGTCTTTATGCCAAACTTGGGCTAGGTGGAAGTCGTTCGGCCTATATATAAACTATATAATATTAAAGGAACAATGTAATATGTGCATCAATACTGAATAATCTCAAACCTCGAATTTGTATCCCAGTTTTTAAAGGGCACTGTTGATGCTCGATTTTGTCACCAACTACTCGCACGTGTGAAATGCTAGAAAGGTATAGAAGTCACACGTAATATGAAAAGATCGAATTAAATAAAATGTGAAGAGCAATATTTAAAGTGGTTCGGATGCTCAAAAGCGAATCATACGTCCACTGCTATTGTATTAATAAGAGAGAGAGGTCAGGTCGCATTCAGCGAGCTGAGTTACAGTTTAGAGAGAGAGAGCTATTTCAGCGTAAAATTAGCTAATCCCCCCAAATGAGAGAGAAGTTCTCTATTTATAGTAGGAGAGTTCAAGGTAATGATTATAAAAGTTGCAAGTGGGTAGGTGCCGTGCAAATCCTTTCTTTACGTCCTATTGGTCACCTGCCTAAGGGATTTCCTCGACTAAAGCAGGGTTTTGACACGTGGGCGATCTCCAACCGCTGGCTGGACTGGCACTTATCTGCTGTATTGACAGGAGCCATACCACTTGCGCTAGGCGCAACGTGGCCACACCTGGACGGCACAAAACCTCTCTAAGCTCTAACCATCCTTTACTGATGAGACTCCACGTCAGCCCTACCTTTTCAGGCATAACAGAAGTCCCTCAGTTTTTAAGGTTTAAGGATCGAACCTTGGTAATTGCATAATTAAGCCATGATTTGACATGTCCAAATGACACCTGGTCGAGCCAACCTGGCTACAAGGAGGTCGTAGAACATTTTTCTACGAATGACCTGGGATGGTATTCTTCCACAAAGTCGGCGACCTAGATTAGACCCTACTCAGTATCATATCGATGTGCCTCTCATCTTAATCGAGGTCAACGACTTGATTATATTTAGCATATTTCTGCTGGAGGCAAGGAATCACAGATCTCCGCAATAGACATGCGATGAAGAGTGTTCTATTTTAATAACCTCTTCAGATGTTTATCCGTTGCGCTTGACAGCTAATCCATTAATGAAGTGTCCTTTATTCTGACAAACATGTCATGTGCGCAATAAATGTCAGCCATGCGCATTAAATGCAAGTCATGCTGAAACAACATTCCTTATGAGGGTATTAAATGCGGATGAGAGCGCATTTAATGTGGATGAGAGAATTGAGCCGTCGCTTGATTATTTCAACCGAGAGACGCGACGATTGATTTTCTTGAAGCGTGGCGGTTATTCTTTCTCGCTGATTGATGACACGTGGTCACGATCAACAGCCAGAAACGTATTCTGTCCAAACATTGCTCAGCTTCGGAAATTCCAATCGTCGTTTCTTCCACTATAAGACCCCAAGTTCTCTTTAAGCAATGTCATAACACTTACATTTTCATAAAAAAGCAAGGAGCTCTCACGAGACCAGACTTTCAATTTTTTAAGTTGGTGTGCATTTTCTGTTTACAGCAAGAAGTTCGACCCCACAACCAAAAGAAAAAGGTAAGGAAGGTCCTTCCATTGCTTTTCTTTTTTCTATTTCGAGTGTAGGTAAACAGTCGATAATGGCGGGTTTATGTAAGGAATAGGTTTTTAGGATGCAAACCATTGGGGGTGGTCCCCAAGGGTTTTTAGGGTTGTCCTTCCACGTCGTCGTACAAAATTTTGTACGAAGACTGAGTAATCTCCACGTGTCCCCCTCTTTCAGACCATAGATGACATGAACCCTACAACGACCGAATCGGATGAGGGGACAAGCTCGCAAGCGCAGGATGCCCCAGTGGGTCCTATGCAAGAGATTCTGTCAGTAGCTATCCAAGATGAAATACAGGAGGCAGTAGACCAATACGCAATCAGCGTGGACGTCTACCGGTACCGGAGGCCTATAGCTCGGAATATGCCAGAGGGAATGACTGCGATCTTCGAAGCTATATTCAAGTGCGGAGCACTGATTCCCTTCCATCCCTTTATTAGGTCGATCCTCGATCACTTCGGGGTCGCACCTTTACAACTGACGCCTAACGCGTATATGATAGCCGTGGTTATGTATATCGCGTGCGCCGAGTACGACATCGGCCAACTGATTGTGCTAGAGCTCGCTTGCTCGTACTATTTAAAGAAGAGCAAGGACAAAGATTCTTACTATCTCTCGAGGTGAACCATGATTGAGAGAGGCATTCACAATTACCCCAGCAACGTCGGGGTATACAAGACCAGGTTTTTCTTTTTTCATTATCATGGCATCTACCACTTTAGGGAGTCGAGTAAATTTTTCCTTTTACTATACTTGGTG